AAATGACTCTCTTCAAAATACTTTAAAACTTTTCTTTGATTTAGAGGGACTTGGTATTCGTGATGATCCAGTTTTGCATGAAAAGGATCAGGCAATGGAAATTTTTAATGACACCGTTGAATTTAAAAATGGACGTTATGTAGTACAATTACCTTTTAGGAAACATTATGAAGAATTATCTGATAATTATTCCTTGGCGCGGCAGCGTTTTCAGAATTTGTGGAGAAGATTTAGTCATGATCCTGAGTTACATCAACAATACCGTGAAATTATTTGTGATTATTTAAAAGAAGGCATAATCAGCATCGTAAATCCTGATACAAAAGAAAAATGCTTTAAATAAGCCTATATATTATTTGCCTCATCAGGCTGTGCGTAAAGAAAGTAGTTTAACGTCGAAAACTAGGATCGTCTTTGATGCGGGGTAGTCATCAAAATAATGAACTTTTCTTAAATGACTGCTTGTGGCCAGGGGTTAACTTAAATCCAAATCTTTTGGATTTACTAATTAATTTCAGATTGAACAAAATTGCATTTTGTTCAGATGTTAAACAAGCTTTTCTGCAGATATGCCTCTCTGATGAACATAAGGATGCAGTTCGTTTTCTTTGGAGTAGTGATGATCCAAGTGTTGATAAAAGGCCCAATTTACAGATTTACCGTTTCAATCAATCGAGTAAATTTCGGGGTCAGTTCGAGCCCATTCCTGTTAGCAGCTACTATTAGACATCATATTAAAAAATACAAGGAAGATTTTCCCGAAACAGTTGAAATTTTAAACCAGTGTTTTTATGTAGATGATCTCATTTCTGGAAGCGAGGATTTTGAAGAAGCACTTGAAGTATCTAAAAATGCCAAGAAAATTATGGAAGAGGCTGGAATGGTCCTCAGGAAGTGGATTAGCAATAATGCTGAATTAATGGAGCAATGGAAGAATGAAGAATTCGATACCTATCCTGCAGACGCTACTCTCAGCTTGGGCGCACACCAAACTAAAATCTTGGGACTTTCTTGGAAGACGCACGAAGATTATTTAACTATGGATACTAAAAATCTTTTGGAATTTCTTTCTATGGACAAAAATACGAAACGCTTCTTACTTCAAGCAATAGGGAAGATATTTGATCCTTTAGGATTAATTTCGCCTTTCACCATTCGAGTTAAATGCCTCATCCAAGATCTCTGGAATGAAAAAATTCAGTGGGATGAACCTTTACCAAAGGAAATTGAAAAGGAATGGAAGAAGTGGTGTGCTGAACTTCATCACTTAGAAAATTTGAAAATACCTAGGTTGGTTAATGATTCTGCATCAAAGGAAGATACTGTTGAAATACACAGTTTTTGCGACGCAAGTAAAAAGGCATATGGCGCTGCCATATATTTGAAGGTGAAGACACTCAGTGGAATATCGGTGAAACTCCTAACTTCAAAAAGTCGTGTGGCTCCATTAAACGGTGTAACCTTACCAAGATTAGAACTATTGGGTGCTCTAGTTGCAGCTCGTCTTAGTTCTAAGGTAAAGAGAATCGTGAATCTGAAAAGATCTTCTGTTGAATACCATTGGACAGATTCCAAGATTGCACTTTTTTGGATAAAGGGTGCAAAAACCCGATGGAAGCAATTTGTGGCAAACCGAGTGAAACGAAATCACCAGCTTGACAGATCCCAACTCTTGGCATCACTGTGCAGGTAAAGAAAATCCTGCCGATCTTCTCTCACGTGGAATGAATGCTGATTCCTTGGTGACAGATTCTAGATGGTGGACAGGTCCAGAATTCTTGATGCAGCCTGACAGTTTCAAGAACTTGCAACCATTTATTCCTGAGATTGAAACCATCGAACAAGTCGAAAAAGAAACTTTGCGGCGAGAAAGGAAAATTCCTTTTGAAGATGAGACTTGTAAAGAGACAGCCCTGCTAAATGACAGCTCTCAACATTTTATTGTGGACGACCTCTTTAGAACTTTCAAACAATTATTATAAAATTAACCATGTTTTGTCTTATATTTTCAGGTTTATTTTCAATTGCAGGAATAAGGTAAAAAACACACAGGACCACTGTCAGTGGAGGAGGTAAGAGAAGCCGAAGAAGTGTTTTGATTAAGCATGAACAACGAGTTCTCCTTGAAGGAAAGAAACTGCCAAGTAATATTTCGAATTTATTTCCGTTTTTTGATGACAAAGGAATAGTACGTGTAGGAGGAAGGCTGAAGAATGCTTCAGTGCCATATTCTCAAAGACATCCTCCTATTTTACCTAAGGGTTCAAGATTAAGTAAAATTTATTTTGAAAGTTTACACAGGAAATTATTTCATGTTGGACCACAAGGTCTGCTAAATGCAGTGCGCTTGAAATTTTGGCCTTTAGGTGGCCGTAGTCTCGCACGCAAAACAGTACATCAATGTGTAACGTGCTTTAAATGTAAGCCCACTCTTTCTTCACAAATTATGGGTAATTTGCCTAGTGAAAGAGTTAATGTTTCAGCTCCATTTTCTATTACAGGTATTGATTTATGTGGCCCTTATTTAGTGAAATTTAAAAATCAACGTAAAGGTATTCTGAATAAATTGTATATTTGTATTTTTATATGTTTCGCAACAAAAGCCATCCATCTTGAGACATTAACAGATTTGACTTCCGATGCTTTAATTGCAACACTTAAACGTTTTACAAGTAGACGTGGCAAATGTTTCAAAATTTATACCGACAATGCTACTAACTTTGTTGGAGCGAATTCAAAATTGAAAAAATTTTATAAGCTCATTAATTTCCCAGACAAAGAATTAGCTAATCATTTTTCGCAAGAAAATATAGATTGGAATTTTATTCCACCCAAATCGCCTCACTTCGGTGGACTTTGGGAAGCTGGTATAAAATCGGTGAAGTACCATCTTAAACGTACGATTGGCAATTTTCATTTCACTTACGAAGAATTCGAAACGATTGTCATTCAGATAGAAGGAATATTAAATTCGCGACCGCTTACTCCTCTTTCTAGTGATTCAGAAAGTTTCGAAGTTCTGACGCCAGGTCATTTCTTGATAGGGCGACCTATAACAGCAATTTCTGAGCCGTTTTTTTAACGGATTTAAAGGAAAACCGCTTAAGTCGTTGGCAAAAAACTACAAAAACTATACAACTTATTTGGAAAAGATGGAAGTCTGATTACTTGAATACTTTACAATCTAGATCAAAATGGATGGTTGAAAAAAATGATCTGATGATCGGCCAAATGGTTTTGATTAAAGAAGATTTTCTGCCAATTAACAATTGGCTTTTAGGGCGAATAACATCATTGTACCACGGTTCTGATGGAAAAGTCCGTGTTGTAAAAGTTCGTACCAAAACAGGGGACTTTAAAAGGACAATTAATAAAATAGCTGTATTGCCTATTGAAGTTTAGCAAGTTGTGAATTATGTTACTCAGTTGTTAGTAATTATATTGAAAATTATTTTTCTCAATAATTTTGTATTCATGTTTTGTTCACTTATTTTATATTTTTCTATACATATTTTATACTTGTTTACATGAATAACTGAAACTTTAATACTGGTATTTCATAATTAAATTTATGTTAAGTTTTTGTATGTGAACATAGCAAGGCCGGGCGGGATGTTGGCGCATTTTACGCCAACGAATCTCGCCAAATTATTGCCTTCTACGATTGAGGCAGCAGACTTGAAGAAGAAATCTAACCGGTCTGACGTGAGCAATTACTTGTAACCGAAGCTCACAATTAAATTGTATTTTGCTTCACTGTAAATATCTGTATATGATGTTTTTCTAAATAAAATAATTAAAAACGAAGCAGTGAAGCTGGTCCGTCGATAAAAAATAACCTTTAAGAAAAATAAGTGTATTCAAAAGTAAATGTTCAAAATTATTTATTAGTGAAAATAATGACTTTTAATGTCAGATGCAAATTCTTTTATTTTCAAATTATTTTCTGTTAGAAAACTTTCTAAATGAGGTGAAAAGCTTAAAATATTATTATCTAATTCTTTGATTATTAGCTCGAGTTTTTTAAAATTGCATTTGTTTTGTCTCTAACGATTAAAAAAGTAACACTTTGTCCTTGTAATCCTAAATTTATCTCATTTAACTTTCCATAAATATCAGCTAAATATACTAAAGTATACGAAACATAATTTGCTAAATAAACAATTTTATGTAAACCATCACTTTTTCGCTCAGTCAATCCTAGCCATTTTTCGATTCTGAAAATCTAGGTTTGCTTTATAATTTTTTTCACAAATATTTAGATGCACAATATATTATGAGTTCTTGAAAACAAACGACGATATTCTCAAATCGCATAGAAAAGTAAGGAATACAAAGCAACAATGGCTGCCGTTAGAATCAATAAATTTATGTAAAAAAAAAAGGTTCTAATTGAAAATAGAGCACAAGATGAGGGCAGAAATGGAAAGTGTAAACATTCTAATAAATCGATCAATTCTAAAAGAATTAATGCTATACTATTATATTTTTATAGGAACTTATTTTTATTTCCTATTAAATACAACATCCATTTCTATTTCTCCTTTTAAAAACATAATTTATGATAAATTGTGTTATATCTATGGCTAAAAGAATATTTGTGAAAACATTTTGCTAAAGTCTTTGAACAAAGCTCAGTTACGAGTGTTAGAGAAAAAACTTTAATGATGTATTTAACATTTGAATTTAATAGTTAAATATACTTTCTTTCTTTGCGTATAACTTGCGTACCACCAGTTGAGAACTGCTGCTTTAAAGTAGTCCATTCTTCTTACAATAGGGTGTAAGCTTTTAAGTTGATGCTTGAAATAAAAACGTGGTAGTAAATTATCTTGCATATATGTGTCACTATCGGTAGCCTCCTTTGTGAGCTAATCAAATTATTCCATCAAAAATATACACTTAAATATTACACTACTGCTTTTCCAGTATCTTTCTGACCACTAAAACAATAGTATAAAAATAATAAATATTTCAACAAATAATTAAAAATAACTTACCAGATGGTAAACTGAATTCAACAAATATTTTTACAACTATTTCAGCATCATCATCTTCGGACTGCCGTTCTTGATAAATAATAACTCGATTTACAACTCCAAATCTTCCACATTCATCTGTTACTTCAGATTCCAAATCATCATCTAAGTCTTCTACACCAACCATGTTACGCAGAACAATAACCGAGGACTAAAAATAAATAAATAATAATTAAAAAAATATATGTTTCTTGCCTAATTCAGTTCTTAACATATACCTTAAATTAAGAATTTCCTACTCATTTTTACCATAGATTTTTATTTATGATAAATTTTTTTTTGGCTTAAGTAGACCAATCTTTCTAATAATTGAGTATTGCTCTTAACTTATAAATTAACAAAATAACTAATTTGATCTTTATTTTAAAAAAAGTTAAAACACTCTCACTTAATTTGGTTATTATTAATTGACAGGAGATTGGTTTGTTCACATTGACAAGTCAATTAATCTGCGATCAATAACAAAAGCTACTTTTTCATTAGTTTGGATTTAATATTTGAAATTTATACGGTCAAAGGTTTTTACGGTTTTAAAATAATTTTTACTACAACAGATCTAGATTTCTTTGGATACTGACTTGGAAAGCTACTTAAAAATACATACTGAAGTTTTTTTTCTAATAATTCATAGCTCTAATTAAATTTCTTTTCTTTGAAGATGATGTATACCTTATTTATATATATATAAACATCATTTACTATGACAAGCACAGCAATTTAACAAAGGAAATTAAACTTACTTCTGTTCGTCTCATGAGTTTTTGCATTAAAATATGCCTTGCATTTGTTCCTTTAATCATCATATTTTCCTGCTGCTGCAGCGTTTGTGGCTCTTGCTCTTCAGCAAGTTTCTTCTCCAATTCTTCGAGCTTCTGCTTTTGGGCATCACTAGTAATTGTGTCAGCTGTAGATGCAGGAGGTGCAGCTGAAGCGACAGGTACAGTAGTCTTTGATGCATCACTAATTACTGGTGGTGGGACTGCAACTTTAGGACTTGGTGAATTGACTTCTGTTTTAACAACAGTTACAGGTACACCTAAAGGTGGAGTCACTATAGGCAAAGTAACTATTCCAGGAGGCGGAATAATGATAGGTGGACGTACTGGAGTCACACCTATAAAAATGCAAGATCATTCAATAAGAAATTTTCATCTTTCATTTACTAAATATAAATTACAATGAATACTTCTAAATTTAATACATACCTGTTATTATGCCAGGTGCATTTGCAGCTAGAACAGGCTGAGGCAAAATGGATGGAGTAACAAGTCCAGGAGTTCCTATAGCAGGAATTGCAAGGCCAGGTGGGGGTATTACAGGACTTAGTGCTGCAGTTTCTGTTGCAGTAGCCGTAACCACTGGAGCTACTGCTGCAGGGGTACCCAAACCTAGGGCCTTTGAAAAGAAAGAGATGCTAATTTAAAATAGATAAGCGACTCACAAAATTACTATTAAATACAGAGACAATATTTTGAGAATAATTTGGATAACTATCTAAATTTTACCTATTTACATAATGCCATATGAGCACTTCATTGAAGACATACATATACTGAATATACTGCATGAAAGTAAAATGGAATTTTCTAAATTTATTCCAACAAGGTATTACATAATTTTTATCTCCAATAATCAGTGGTTTCAAGAGAAGGAAAGTATTGGATTATTTAATTATAACTAAGCACACTTAAACTATCAATATGCAAGCATAGATAGATATCGTGTGACAGATTTTCTAGGCGACTTGATTAGACAGCTATACTATTAAACGAGCCGCTTACAACAGTTATTATAAAAAAGAAAAATACATAATGATTTAATGAATCCAGCTTGTAGGATTTCTGTTTATTCTAAAAAGCTCGTATTAATGTCCAGCAGACCCTACTAGACTGGAAGCACGCTTTTGATCATTCTTAAATAAATCACGAAGTCTAGAAAAAGTTAAAATAAAATAATCTTTTTATTTAAGTCTTAAATAATGAGAAAAACGCTGAGACAAATGATCTACTATTTGAGAAAATTTAAATTAAGATATGCCACAAAATAAACTACTTAAGACTGCCCAAGATAGTAAACAGTGCATATTAAAACATTGGCTAGCTAAAGCTGGAATAAAACTTGGCAGAGCTGATGATATTAAGTGACAGCAAGACAAGGTTGCCAGAAACTATAATTTAGACATTCAAAGGCTTCAGCTTCGATTCAACGGTCCGGGTCGTAATTTTGAACACCTTTTTTGATGATGATTTGATGATTATTGTCTCTTTATGCTGTTTTTTTTCTTTGTTTTTGTTCTACTCCAAATAATAAATATGTTTTCTCACCCAGTTCGTGTCCTTACTTTCTTGACTTTTGTTTCGTCACTACCGTGCCAAGAAAGCGTTTCCAACCATGCATTCTTCCCACTGTTTGGTTTGGTTTATTAGATTACGGCAAAGGGGAGGGCTGTCTGCTTTAACCTTTTCGCAACGGCACACCTTTGTTTAAGACGCTCGTGCGGAACGGAAGGGAATCGAAGGCAGTCACTGTACAGGACGAAGGTTTTGCATCGATAAGCCTAATTTTATATATATATATATATATATAAAAGACTCGCTTCTAGCATCGTAATTTTTTGTATTCTTTTAGATTATTACTTGAGTTCTTATATATGTTAAAATTAGCACTTAACATTTTTTTTCTTTATTTTTCATGAAAATATACTTAGTTGCTTGTCTTGTAAAATAATTTTCGGAAGCGCTATTCAAATTATTCCAAAGTTTTAATTGATAAAATTCATCAATAGATTTTTAAATTAATAAAACAACACAATAAAGACTATTTACAGTAAGAAGTAACACAATTTAAAATGAAGACTGTGATAAATCTCGAAGTATGGAGAAGTATCACTTTCTAACTCTTTAGAAAATGAATCATCACTCTCATCTGCGTTAATAAATGGTTCATTGACCATTATTCTTCCTCTGATAAATAGCGCCTTTCCGCTACAATAGACTGGAGGTGAGGCTTTCTAAAATAAAAAGAGCAGAATATATCTGAAGGGCAATGCAAAACGTAACAGTACTCCACATAGTAACCCTAAAAGACCATATATAGTAAAGGAAAAAATAGAATAAAAAAAGAAATTGGATATAAATCAGACACGCGAATGTTTTCATTAACACGCAGCGATTTAAAGAGCTCACCTCTGTTTACGTTTTCCATCTCCCCCACCTTCGCAAGAGCTGATGAGTAAAATGCCTAAGTCAAGCAGAATATATCAAACTCAAGGTCAGGAAATTAAAATTGTGCTCATTTCAAAAGCAATGGACATCGGATGCCATCTAGTGGCCTTCAGAAAAACGTTCCAGCTTAAAATGCACATACGCATTACCCGTTCTCTGAATGCAATCTCTAGCGATGCGTGGAAGGGACGCCCGTCCTGAAAGGGTTAAGGGAGGGATGCCTTTGTACGCGACTTTTTGCGGGAAACTGGCTCGTATACACACATCACACATGGGGAAAACCACAAAAAAATACATCCATGTAGCCAGCCCATTCGCGGGATTCGAATCTCGGACCGAACTACCAGTGTTCAGCAACATTACCGCTCGGCCACTGGTGGGCTTTTCCCACTGTTTAGGTCAGGGCTTCTTAAACATTTCTCAGTCATGACCCCCTTTTTATCTCTGAGATTTTTTTCAAAACCCCAGGACCCCATAATATTTACGAAAATTGTGTGGGACCCCATAAGCATTGCACAAATCTGACACATACATAAGTGAAATTGTCAATTTCTTCACTTGTACTGTAACATACTATTGCAGCTTTAGGTCATTAACTTTAATTTCTAATTTTAAGCCATAGAATAATGTGAACATTTTGAATAAGTAACACACAAAATGACAGCGTCATGTGCAAAGCAAGTAAAAGGAACGTTTATATTATAAAAAGAATGCGTCGAAACTTTTTCATTTTTAACTTATCCGTATTGTTTTATCTTTACCTATTTTCAGATACATTGTGAAAAAATATTTGGTAATTGTAAAATTATTATAATAAGTTAAAGAAATGTCAAATCAATTTTTGGCAACCCCCTGCTGCAGGTTCCGCTACCCACAGTTTAAGAAACTAGGATGTAGATCAAAATTTGAGAAAATAGTCTGTATCCACCTTTTTTAAACAGTCTTGCATTTTCAAATCAGTAATAATTTTGTCCTGACTATAAGATGGTTTCACATCTTATATTTAGATATACGCAGGATGATCTAAAGTTTTAAAAATGATTTGTCAGAAATAAAGAGAAACAAATCAACATATAAAACAGCTCATTTTCAGAAATTCAAGAGGTAATTTCATGATATATAATATTTCATGAAGGTAATTCATGGTTTATGATTACTTTCCATTATTGGAGAAGCTAAAATTGTTTCACGTCTCCTCGGAGTTAGTCACCGCTGTACTAATACACCTTGTATAGCTAATCATGCTGTTAGCAGATGTCCAATCTTACGATATGACATTTTACTTTGACATGCATAAGTTTGAGTGAAGGACTAGGTGTGCACAAAATCTGGTAACTTTAGGTGACAAGCAGAAAATTTGATTCTTTTTCTCTAGTTATTTTTTCACAATGTGAGGAACAAGCATGCATACAGGTTCTTTAGTAATTATGTAATATATGGTCTACACTCTTTAGTTATTTACTAGTGGCCACCAGATAAGCGAGCTGCAGCAAAGGCAAAAATGTATGAAAACATTTCAATACGAAAGAAATTAGTTCATTCTATACAAGTAACAAACAAGTAATAATTTTTTTACTGCCGAGCCAAGAAGCAAAAACTTTTGATAATTCATGTTAATGTAGAGATATAATTTTAATGTAATATAACATTTTCTCAATATTAATACAAGAATTAATGTGGCAATAATATATCATGTCAATTATAGTAACCTGAAACAAAAGTCGCCAACAGCAGCTGTTTATGTAAAATGCTGACATTAATGAACAATTTTCAACTTAAATGATGTCACATGCAATCAGGTGCCTTCTTCAACATCAGAATATGACCTTATACGAGGGTTGGAACTTTAATATTGGCAACTATTTATTTACAAGGAATACAAAAGTGATTCATGTCATATGTTTTACAGTCCTTCGATATAGTCGCCAGCATTGTGTACAACCCGTTTCCAATGATATGGAAATCGCAGAATACCTGTAGTAGCGCCTGTTTTGTTGATAGTTTGAATGGACCGGTCTACTGCTGCAAGAATCTCAGGAACAGTTTGGAAGCAAGTGCCACGAAGTGGTTCCTTCATCTTAGGAATTAAGTCACAGTCACAAGGGCTTAGATCTGGAGTATGGTAAAGCACTTCCCAGCCCCATCGCTTGAACAAATCAGTCACAGCTTGCTCTGCATGCGGCCGAACATTGTCATGCAAAATGAGAGAAGCGTTCTGCAGAAAGTGTCGGCGTTGTTTTCTCAAAGCTGGTCGGAGATTGTGATCCAAAAATGAGCAGTAATACTGCACAGTGACGGTCTGCGTTAGGATGACACACATTGCTGGGGTTCTGACGAAATTTCGAACGTCATGGTGACCCCCATTCGTTTGACTGGCGTTTCAGTTTTGGCTGGTACGATCGGGCCCAAGTCTCATCCAGCGCAATGATACGGCGTAAAAAAGCATCTCCTTCGTGCTCATAGCGCTCTAGGTGGGTTCAGGCAGCATCGTATCGTAGCCATTTCTGCATTTCCGTCAATTGATTTGGAACCCATCGTGAAGCATATTTTTCTCATGGACAGGCGTTCCTTCAAAATGTGCAGCACAGTCATATGCGCTAATCCTGTTTGTCCGGCCAGCTGACAAATCGTTTGGCGGCGATCACTGTCCATTAGTGCGGCAACAGCTTGCACGTCTGCATCGCTGACACTCGGACGACCTGGCCGCAGCATGTCTGCCACGTTTTGGCGTCCTTCATTGAATGCTTTCACCCATCTTGCTACGGTTCTGTAAGGCAATGCAGATTCCCCGCAAGCCTTCTGATGACACTGTCGTGCTGTACGACCTCTGGCACATTCAATTTTTATCCAACATCGTTGTTCTTGTTTTGAAAACATCCTGACAACACTTACTTTAGACCGCGAGCTAATACAAGGATCCGTTCTTTGCGTCACTCCGCATGCGCGTGACGTAGGCAGGACGAGTCTTTTTGCTGAGAGGTAAGGTAGGTATGTAGTTTACGTGTGGTATACGCGATATTCTTTGGTTTTGTTGTGTAGCGTTTTTTCAGCTGTGTTGCCACTATTAAAGTTCCAACCCTTGTATAATACATGTAATGTTTGGCAATGTTATTTTTATTTCATACTTTGTAAAACTTACAAATTTTTAATCAACAAATTAAAGCGTTAAAC